GGGAAAGATCTGTAGAACATGAAATGCAAGCTAGGGTACTGTGAATCAGAAAGCAGCTCTAACATAAGGAGATTACCACTGTAGAAGGTGTTCTAGTTACCCGTGTCTAAAACTGTCTGCTGCATGTGATTTTTGAACACTTGAATATTCCTTCAACAGTGCACAAACCTGTATCACAGTTAGTGATAATGTTAAAATTTAAATAGTTCTGGAAAAGTAACATTAACTTACATTTTTTCAAAATATTAAGGGCCTCAAGAAAAAAAAATGTTATTCTCATGGAATTTAGATAAAGTTCAGATTCTTCACCTCTAGGAGCCAAAAGTGGGAAATCAGTCTTCTTGTTTCCCAGCAGCAAAGCAGAGATCTGGTGAGAACATTAAAAAAAGATTTTACTCAAGGCTAAATAGCAAAAGAGATGATAAAAGGGAAATAAATAGTTTCTGATATACAGCTTGCACCCATGATTAAAGATTCATACCATTAGTCAGAGAACCCAGGAAATGTTTTGAAGGTTACCCTCCTTCCACATGGAAGATGCCATTTTGACCTCTATCTTCATCAGTCAAATGAGCACTTACTGATATTTAAAGCCCCAGGAATCTAAATTGAGAGAGGGAGGCTGAGGTTCCTTCCTCAGATTCTGACCAGCATTCTAGTTTTCATGTCTGAACTCTCACTACTCACTTAAATGATTGACCCCCAAAATCACTTCTCTCTTCTGGTGATGGGTGTTTTCAAAAGATTGGGGTTTGGCCCTGACCCTTGCAGGCCCCAGCAGGATATTCACATGGGAATAGAAGATATCAGCCCCACAGCCCCAATATTCATACACAACTGGGAAAGAGAATCATGGCTGGGGAGGGCGGGGTACAGTGGAAATGTGATTTCCATAAAAGGCCAATAATAGCTCCTCTAAGCAGAGAAGGATCGTCTGAAGGAGAAGTGAGGGGAACTACAAAATGTGGAAATGAGCAGAAGGGTAACTATGGGTCAGAAAAATATAACTCATGTTTTCTAAACAGGTTGTAAGAAGTGCATCACAATAAGTCACAGCCAGCATTTCTTTGTGGGAACTCCAGGGCGCCTGCTTCTGAAAGCTCCCAGGGAATATTTTGCATGTTGTCCCTAGAACCAGTCCTGTGGCCATCCTGGAGCATTGATCCTTTTCCTCCGATGCACTCTGGCAGTGTTCTCATGGCTTCTTGTCAAAGTCCCATACTGGGCACCACTATCCTCTGCACCAGCCTGGCTACACAAGTCCCCTGATGCCAACATTAGAGCACACTCATGGCCCTTCTCCTGTCACTGACAAGTCCCTGATGCTGCCTATAGAGTCACTGATGTCGATGCCTTCAGGGACTCATGTTCTTCTCACAGACAGCATGATTTTACAAACAAAACTTCATCTTTTAGTTCTTGCTGGTTTAGTTTTTGCAGCCATTTTACTAGGAAAAGGCGTTGTCTAAGGGGCTGGCCCTGGTAAGTGCGTCCACACCAGACTTCTTCATATGCTCACATCATCCCTTTCTACTCAGCCTTTGGTCCTTGAACCAAGCCAGGTCTCTGCATCAGGGAATCTATTATTTCCCTGCAAGACCTGGTTTCTCAAGCTCCAGACCTGTAGTAGGCTGCCTCCTCTCCTCTACTTCCAACATGCTCAGATGTATGAATCCCAGAGTGCACATCTATCGGGCATATATTGGACCTCTGCTATGTATGCTTTGTCTGCCTCACTACTTTTTTATTTTTCTCCTACCAGGATGGTACCCAGGAAAAGTTAATACTAAGCCTGAAAAATATAGTGCCATATATGTAAAAATACATATAAAAATGAAAGAAAAGTCAATAGGTGAAATAGTATGAAAACACTCATCAAAACTGTGTGTAAGAAACATTTCATTTAAAATGTTTAAAAAATATCAATGAATTAAAAAATTATAGAACCAATAGATCATTATATTTTGAAATTGCCTTAAAATCACTTGACCCTCTTATTTGGATAAATAAACTGAGGCTCAGTGAAATTAAATAACTAGAGCCATACGGTTGATTAGTGAAAGGGCTAAATTAAGTAAAACTGGTTACAAAGTGAAATATATGTAGGAATTTGCATACCTATATTTATAGCATCAGTTCCCATATTCTACTTCGAAGAGGTAAAGAATGCTTGTTAGTCATCTTGCGTTTTAGTTGTTAACTATCAATGACAAACAACTGAATTAAAGTTTGAACACCTCTCTTCTACCTCTAACTCTTAATGAATCAGCATTTAAAGAATATTTTGAAGAAAAAAATATTCTTTAAAGGTCAAGTGAATGACAATCACAAAGAAATGGAGTGCTTCCAATCTTACTTTAGCGAACAATGCAATTTCAATTCAGTAACTTATACGGTTTATATAGAAGTTTACACAGTTTATCAGCTGTCTCTGGAATATGAGTGCCGGATGTAAGACCTTGGAACACAGATATGATTACAGCCAAATAATAATCAATGAAGCAGAGACTTGCAATTATTTGGGTCATTCAAACCATTAGATAGTTTATCAGGGTAACTCAGAGCCCAAAGCCTGGATTGTCTCATGTTAATTTCTCTAGTTCATAGTGTAGGTACCCAGTGAATGCTTAATTAATGCCCAATGATGAGGGTGGGTGACAACTAACATTTAAAAAGACTGGTACACACTTCATCAAGTTTTTCACATATAAAATACTAATAATTATAAAAGCTTCACTATATGTGTTTTAATCCCAGCCTGAATAAAAATGTTATGAAACTACTATAAGTATATCTCTATTTCAATCATCAATTTATTTTAGGTCTTTTTTGGTTAAATAAAAACCCCAAAACCTGACACATTAAGCTATTTTGTTTTAGTTTTAGGTTTTTTTTTTTTTTTTTTGGCCCTTTTCAGAAGATATAAACACGTTGTGATAATTTTTCTGCTTGCAAATATTAGAATGAGTATCAACAGGGAATAGATATATGCCCACATAGGTCAGTTTGAGATCTCCTGGGTTTAGATTTCCTAGTTTAGAGCAGAGAATGTGCATAGGCGTGGGGATACGGTTTGTGGGTTTACTGACTCAGTGACAATGAATGCAAGGAGAGTGAACGCTAGCTATATGAAAAAATTAATACTGGGCTACAAGCTTAGGAAAAGAAAGTGAACTTTTTTCTTTAGTTTTTATTATGAAAAATTTAAAACATAACAAAAAGTAGGGAGAATTATATAATGAATACCTATATATTTATCATGTATAGGTAAGAATATTTACCATATTTGCTTCATATTTTTTGCTGAAGTATTTTGAAGAAAATACATGCAGTGTACATTCCTAAAAATTAAGAACCATTTATCTAGATAACCTCAATGCCTTTATCACATCCAACAAAATTAGCAAGTATTTTCTAATATTATCTAATATCTACTATATAAAATAAACTTCGCATAACCATTTCACAGGTAAATGATAATATGAGTAGTTAGTGGAAAAAATCCATTCTGATATTCATCTTTATGGTCCACAAAGGTGGCTTGATGTTGTGAATAGAACTCTAGGGCTGAGGACACCTTGATTCTGTTTTTGGGTCTGCTACTAATTTGTGGTGAGATCACAGACAAGTTGCTTAATTTTTCCTTGTCTCGGGTTCCTTGCCTATAAACAAAGAGGATAGAATAGATTATTTCCCCTGGGGTTTATCTGAAGAGCTGATAACCTATAGGCCTAAAGATTATTTGGCTTTATTTTCATATATTGTTGGTATAGTTCAGAGATTGTTCAGAAACAAGCTGTTTTACTATCTTTGTCCATTAGGGTTGCTGTAACAAAATACCACAGACTGGGTGGTTTACAAACAACAGAAATTTAATTCTCACAGTTTTGGAGGCTGGAAGTCCCAGATCAGGATGCCAGCATGGTTGGGTGAGGACCCTTTTCTGGGTCCCAGACTTTTTATATCCTCATATAGTGGAAGGGGCTAGGGAGCTCTATAGGATCTTTTTTCTAAGAGCACTAATTCTGTTCATGAGGGTTCCACCCTCATGACCTAATCATATCCCAAAGGCTCCACCTCCTAACAGCATTACCTTGGGTATCAGAATTCCAACATGTGAATTTTGAGGTTGGGTACACAAATATTTATTCCATAGCATCTACCATAGTTACAAACATTATTTCTAAGGTAGCATTCTTTTTCTGCAAGAATATACTTGTATCACTAATTCCTTATTCTTTTATCCATGATGTTACCTAGGTAGGTTAAAATGATGATGTTGCTGTGGCTGCCCTTTAAATAAAACTAAGCGAGAGGGATTTCTGACTTTCTCAGGGTGGCACAGGGGAGGAAATGCACATCCCTAGATTTTCATCTCTTGACCTGTGTGTGATGGTTAGTTTTATGTGTCAGCTTGGCTGGAATTCATGCTCTTTCTTGCTGGTTATTCGCTCTCAAAAGAAAGTGAAGAAGAGTTGAGCCAAACGATCTTAATTCTTAGAAGAATTTAGTACCTTCTAAAATTTACCAGTCAGATAAGTCTTTTCACTTGCCCTGCAGTGGAGTAAATAAAGGGGTGGAGAGAGGCCCGGAGTATGACACTGATTGAGTTCTTTCTACGTGGAAGGAAATTTGGGGATTGGAGAACATATTTAAAAATAAGAAAAACTGAAAATAAACAAACTAGGCATTCAACTCCAGAAGGTACAAAAAATCCATAGAAAGTAGAGTAAAAGAAAAAATAAAGATAAAAAATCACGAATTAAAAGGAAAACAAACAAAAATAAGAGATGATAGATAAAACCAAACACCATTGGTTTGAAAAGACCAATAAAAACAGATACATCTTTCACAAAGGAATCAGGAAACTAAGAGAATGGCATTAAGAGATCACTATTAGAAATTTAAAAAGGTGATAACTACAGAAGTTGTAAATATTTTAAAAGTCAGGAACATTTTATTAATTTTGCCAGTATGTTTGAAAAGCAAAATGATAGTCAGTCAATTTTCTAGAAAAATAAAAATCGCCAACACTCATTCAAGAAGAAACAGAAAAATTAAATAGAATAGTAACTGTTAAGAAAATTTTTTTTTGGCATTAAAAAAACCTCTTACTCCTCTAAAAGGTATCAGGCTGTTTAAAAATGTACCCAGGGTTTGTTTTAATCAGGTATGGTAAGACATGAAAACACAAAAATTATGAAGGAAGACGTTTTTATACTTACTGACCCATAGAAGTAGGAGGCATTGCATGCCATGTGGTAGTGGTGGGGGTGGAATGGGTGGGGGGACACAAGGGAGCATCAGGGACTGATGAAAAACCAGAAGGAGCAAGGGAGAAAGCACCAGCTGGATCCTTTGTTGTGG